GGCATCTCTTCAATGTAACTGTCGTTTGAATAATTGCTGCTGAATTACTTGCTTATCAACGAATTAAGTTTTAATATGAATTTCTGCAGCATATAATATAAAAACTTAATTTCAGGTTTAAGATAGATGCAAACTTGAAAAGTAAAACTTAGAAACTATAACTTCCCAGGAAGCCCTTGTGGCTTTGGAGTGGCTAGGAAAACAAGTGCATTTAATCTGCAGCTCAGCTCGCCGGTCACAAGCAAGCTTGTAGTGGGAAGGAAGTTAGACTGTACCCCATAATTGACTATCTCATTATTTAGCCAGCTTAATTTTTTTTAAAGATAGAGTCTTTTCTATTTATTCTACAGAGAGACATCTAGAACAGACTAAGATGCTGAGGTATTTACAGTCAAAAAAAAAAAAAAGAGAGAAAGATCAAGAGTGCATGGAGAAATTATGAACTGCAGTTGCTTTATTATGGTAGTAAGGGTGAGAATAAAGCCATACAGAAAGCTGTTAATGGCATACAAGGTTATGAGCTTTATTTACATAGTTACCTCCAAGAAGCTAATAAAAACAACTTCCATTTGAAAGCCAAAGAGTGTCCCATGTTTGTGGCTCAGATTTCTTGTGTCACTTTAGCTCCTCCATTTGCGCCATAATCTGTATTGGAGGGGAGGGCTGGTGGCAACCGATCACTATGGTGAGGTGGCATGTCTTGAGGAGGAAGCAGGCTACTGGGTCAGAAACCTGGAATCCCAACAAGTATGCTTGAAAACTCTCTAAATTTAGGAAAGATATTAAATTTTGGTAAGCTGAGTTCTCCAGTTCAGGGATAAAGTAAGATACTGATGGCTGTTGTGAGGACTGATCGCAAGGGCTCCTGAGAAATACATACAGAAACATATATAGGTGTATCTATTAAATGGAGCCACTCCACATACATGGGATGGTAATGTTTTCACTAAGAGCGATAGACTATAACAAAAACATCAATACTAAACATGGAAAACTGTCCTTTGAGCCATTTTTCATGGATGTCCAAGAGATTCCTCAAACCATACAGGCCATTGGCATTGCTTTGGGTTGCTTCGCAGACCGTGAAGGTAATAACTTCCCACTGGACTTGGAGGAGTGGAGTTGGAACTGGCCTGGAAGCATGCTCCCTGGGGACCAGTTCCCACAGTATCAGAATGGGCCATGCACACTGTCAAAGGAGAGGAGAAATCAAAAGTCCTTCCCAGCTATATGGTTAAGACCCCAGCCATGATGGGCACAGAAAGGTATCCCTAATAAATTAGTGGTGTTTTTTATTGGAGGTGGTTTCAATGAGATGTTCCACATAGTCTCGACCATTTGAATGGTTGATCCCTAGGTTGTGATATTATTTGGGTAGATATAGGAAGTGTGTCTTAAGGCCATTACTGTGACTTGCAAGGAATTCTCAACCTCTGAAACAACAATGACTCAAATTTCGTATTTCAAACAAGTTCATACTACTAGGTTGTCTATAAAAGTTGGCTCTTATGCAGCACAGCACAAATTCACACAGCTAATTACTTAAAGTTACTTCCTTTCCCCCATGCATCTCCTACCTTCTCTTCTTTGCCCATCTCCACAGGAAGGGCAGTTTATGAGACTCAAGATTTGTTTGTTGTATAAAAAGTACAAGTTCTAGATTGGACTGAGGTAAAAATGGGATTTCCATTGTGCAGAAACAGTGCTTCCCACAGCACCATCACACAACTACCTTAGGACAGTAGGAGTCAAATTTTGCTCTTAAACACCTGTGTCACTAATTATCCCAAAGGCCAGGGTCACTCACAGGGAGAACCCCTCTTTCCTAGACCTCTGTGTCTTTATCTGCTTGTCCTCAAACACTCGGGCTCCTGGAATCTTTATTAGCTTAGATACTAGACCAGATCCACCAAGGGATGCCCATGTAGAGGAAAAGGGTCTTTTTTATTTACAAATGTGGAAACCTGCATCCAGGCATATCTCTTCTTCAAGGCAGTGAACCTTCCAAACCCTTGTCTAAGTCTCTTGGAACCAAACAAATTACATGCCACTGTGTGCTGTATATCACAGCTAGAATGTTTATAACTCCAGGCCTCGTGGAGTTTGGGAACAGGCTTCTCTAGCAAGCTGGAACTGGCTGTACCTTTGACTGACAAGCTGCCATTTTCTTGAGGTTTGAATATTTGGATCCTTCACCTATCCATCTAGCCCCCCTCCCCACCCAAACACAACAAACAAACAGAAAAACCCTTCACCTTGGAGATCTTTGGCATTTGATCCCAATATTTTTATACAGTAACCATACATACATTTATCACTCTGTGCTTTACGAACAGTGAAGGTTTATTACGCTGCACTCAAACCTCATTTAACCTTTTCTCTTGAAGCAATCCTTTAAAACAGAGTGGGGGGGTTTGTACAATAAAGGCTGGCCGATTCCTTTTAAGAAAAATCTTTAGCATTAATGCTTCTGGTAGGTTAGTGTCTGGTGATATCTTGAAGATAAAACTTACCCTTTGCTTCTCTGAGGGACCCAAAATCTTGGAGGATTTGGAGCGGCAGGATTTTAGAATGGGAAGGCCCCGGAATCAAGCTACTTTTTGTCCAGTGTCATGTCTTCCACTGATGAGAACTGTCTGTCCTCTTTTCCAGTTAGCTTATCAGTTATCACACAAGGGTAACTTTATACTTGGAAGCTATTCTGTCCCATGCGGAACTTCATTCTTCAAAAGGCTTTGCATCTAAACCACATTAGACTTAGTATTTTACTATCATAACTATTTTAGATTTTTATTTGGACACATACTTCTTCTTGCTTATCTGAATTCTGGAAATGTATGTTACATTCTTGAATTCCACTCGAACTTAACTCCATGCTTGATGCATGTAGGAAAGCTGCAAATATCGAAGGAATTTACCTTGAACATGGCACCTTGTCTGAAGAAAAAACATCCTTAATCTTTACACCATAATTCAGAAAGGATCAGACCCCTTGGTCTTGGAGGTAGGTCCAGGAAGTCTATGTAGCTCACCCAGGCCTGTTTCGACTAGGTATCTCATAGCATCTGCCACGTTGTTTTACAGACATGTGACACTTGGGAGCAATCATTTTATTTCCTCTACTTCTCAGTTCCAGTTGAGGTGAAGGGACTCCTCAGATGACTGAACTGACAAGAGACGTGTTTGGCTGCTCTGGGATGTATGTAGGAGTACACGTGCCATCTCTACGGTGAGTATTTCAAAAGCAGGTCTAAAAGCTGCTGTCCTGGATGCCGGCCACGAGACTGTCAGCCTGCCGTATGTGTTCCGCTGAAACCAGGGTCCATCAAAAGGGGGCAATTTGTCCCTCTTGTTGGGGAAACTGACAGTGCTGCCTCTGATGTCACACAGCTCTGCAGGTGTTCAGCAGTGACAAGACCGAGTAGTCTGGTTTGCCTTTTCCATTCTCCTCAACAAGTATTGCTTCTTTTTATTTTTCTGTCTGTGTTTCCGATGTGAGTCTCACAAGCATTTCTACCAATTACGACTGTATGGACATTGACTGTGACTGTGTGCTTTGTTTTTCTGGTAGTATGGGGATAGACCAATGGGTATCACCAGACAGAACAGGAAAAAAAAAAGCTTTGGCCACCTTGTAGATGATAGCTAGGGTGGAGGAAAGGGTACTTAAGCCCTGGAACCTTATTTATATGGTTTGAGCCTTATGCCAATCAGGTGCTATTTATAGTTAACCCATGTAATTATTCCCTGATGTAAGTGTTTTAGTATCTCTGTTTAATTGATGAGGAAATTGAAGCACAAAGAGGCTGCACCCATTTTGCCTGGGGTTCATAATCTGTGGGTATCTTTGGTGGGATCTGAATTGAGGTCACCCAGTTTGGCAGTTCCTGTCTTTAACCATCATATCTTATTCTTTATATTCTGTGTACCTTATTTTTGCCTTGAAGAGTCCCTTATTCACAATGCATTATGCAAACTAACTCTAGGAACATGAGAAATGAACCTCGTTCCTGCAAAGGGCATCAGCCCTCAAGGAGAGTGGGGGATGTGCTCATTTTGCCCTAGTACAAGTGAGGTGTTCTCTGCCCACCCCCACCAGGACCTCTGACTCTTCTCTGGAGAGAGGGAAGGCACTCAGCTGTTAGCAGGATCGCCAAGTCATTTCACAGGGAGAGCAGAGTGGTGTCCAGCGTGTGCATCCATTATCAGAACTTCCAGTTGTGTGGGAGAGAATAACCTGAACCCCTAGCCACCCGACCAGTGAGCATGTGTTCAGGGGCAGTAAGGGCAAGGTGTGAGATTCAGGAGTGATCAAATAGTATAGCTTTTCCCTTTTAAACATTATAAAATATCATCAGTTTATACTTTGCCCCAAAGAAAACATAAAATGCAATGTGAATTTGTAAATTTCACATTGAATTAATATAGGACTATCTTGGCAGTTCTAGTTTATCAAATGGGTCAAAAAGAGAAACAGGAAGGGGAAGAAAGCAGAGAATTGATTATATGCCAATAGTTACAGCATATATCATCTAATGGGGTGCAGGGATTCTCATTCCCAATGTCTTTGGAGTTTCAGGTTGGGTGTCCTTGTTTGTCAAAAAAAAAAAAAGAACCCATTTTTGTTAAATCCATAGGCGGCATGAACTTGGCCAATGTACCAGCCTCCTAGGAATACTAAATGTACCCTATTTTGTTTATAGGAAAGAAGGAAATTAAGACAGACCTCTTTTGTGCAAACCATAAACTGCATTTAACAAGACCAGGGGCTTGGGAATCCATGGTGAGGCTGCTTGCTTTTCCTGGCACCTTGTTAAACATGTTTGAAAGTTTGCATGCTGGGGCACAGGCTGCTTGCTCTTTGTTCCTGGGAATGCTTCGAATGGGCCTGGTAGACTTGGGCAGACCAGCTGGAATCTCAAACATGGGCTGGAAAAGAGCAGGCACTCACTAGCACCCACATCCACCGGGCCTGAGGACAAGCCCCCAGAAGAACGAGACTGCTTCCAATGTTGCCTCCAGCATCCAATGATGCTTGTTATTGAGCTTCTCTTCCTATGTCTCAATGAAATCTTTCATCATGTAGTTCAGTGCGTCTCCTTTTGTTCTGACCTGAATAAAGATGAAGAACAGCTGGTCAGCATTCCCTGTAGAATAACTCTTGAGACACTTGAAAACTATTAATTCACTCTTAGTCCTCGCTTCTCCAGAACAATTTTGTGGTTTTCTTCTGCCCACTCCCCCATTCTCCTTTTTCTCTTTACCTTCGGGTCTTTCTCCAGCTGTTGCTTTCTGAAGTCACTTGGAAATCTAAATGCACACAGGTTTTTTTTTTTTTGAGGGGTGATGGTGGATTTTAACTGCAAAATAATGGTTGGGATTTTGTTCTCTCTTAGCCTGAACTTATTTTGGAAGGCTTAGTCTTTATCCCAGGATGTCATCCATTGGCTTGGATTAGTGAAGACCTTCTCTTTCTCTAAGTTTGGGTCTAGAGAGATCTTACAAGGAAAGTTCTTTCTCTCTGGATATGTGTGTAAGGATGTGCTTGTGAGAATAGTGGCTCCTCCAGGAATTTATTTTCAAGTCTTTCAAAAATACTGTCCCATGACATACCGTGCAATATTGCTTTCGATGTGCTCATTTAATTAGGGATGTGCCCTCATTCTATGTGCATGTGTATGAGAGTCCACATACTAACTTGGATAATTATCAACAGCTTCTGAGAATTCAGGTGTAAAACTCAGGGGCTGCATGTCAGTAAGTGGAAAATAAGAAGGCGGAAGTGAATGCTTCCCAGCATTGCCTATGACTAGGAATAAGTGGAGAGGTGTTACTGCCGAGTTACAGGGTGCCTAAGTAGGGGGTCAAAAAGTTACAATCATAAATGATTGTGAAAATTATTCTTCTTTTCCCTGTTAGGTAGTAGAGTCTCTTTACTGACCCATCTGCAGGGAACATCATTAATTAAATTTCTCATTTACTTTGATTTATACATCCCATGATAGTTTACTACCCCTTTTCCTCCAAATCTTGTCTTCTGTTGCCTAGCAAGCAGTCTTGAAGAGCATCACCATTTGTCTGTCACACCCTAGGAATTTGTCAACTCCTTGGATTGCACTTAACAGCTCAATCGGTAAGCAGCTAGTCTTCCCTAACGCACTCCTGTTGCACTTGGCTCATCTTTTCTTAAGGTAACCCATTGCTTGAGAATCAGTGGCCAGCGTTGCCCAGTATCACCCATAAAATGCTTCTTACTGCTGACTATCTTTTGGAGTTCTGCCAAGTAGCTACCATCTAAACTAGGTAGTCTAGTATTTTTTTTTCATTTTCCAGAAATCATTTAATTTTTCAGAATTAAGTTAAATATTTTCTACACATTCCAAGCACTTTCCTACCCTTCCAGTATCTGTTCCTCTCTTTCCATCTGTCTAAAGTTGTGTGAACGCAATTATCTACCAAACTTTCTTGTAGACTGTCACTATTTAGAGGTGTCTCTTTTACTCTAACCTCCCCCCACAATTATGTCCCTTCTCTTAGCCCAGGTAGATAGTGTGTGTACCTTGCTGACTGATCTGTGCGAGCCGGTTGGTAGTCTTTCTTCTTCGGGGACGACAGCTGCCTCCTTTGCCTGCTTGTTTGTCTTTGTTCCCATTGGCATCAATCTGCCCCACAGTAGTGGTACTCCCGAAAACAGTACTCAGAAAGTTCAGGTCCCATGATCCGCCAAATAACCAAATTGACAGCGTTTCACTAGGATGAGATATAAAAAAAAATTTTGATTAGTCTTTATGGATTTGGATAGATAAATTAATATTTTAGAAGGTATAGTTATTGGTGACATTAGTAAAGAAAAATGTATTTGGAGATCATACATAGTTAATAAATGATTCTCTTTGGAGGAAGAATAAAAGTGATTTCTTTTTGACAGAGCTCAAAGTGTTATTAATTACACAGATGCTAATATGGTATCGGGGAACAGCATGGAAAGGCATGGAAATGCAATTTCTCACCTGGCTTGCGTAAAATGGTGATGAGATGTTCACTTCAACATTTCTTTCCTCTGGTGCACATATCAGTGAACGTATCAGAAAACTGCAGGCAAAATTCGAAGCAAGAGAAAGTCTCGATCCATCATTAGTACAGAATGGTCAGTGGGGTGATCAAGGAGACGCAGAAAGACACCTGTTGACTACACTGTGCCTCTCGTGTTGTGAGAGGCCACTCTAGCCGAAGAAGGTCTGAAAACTCAGGCTAGACACTGGAGGAACTCAGCCATGGCTTTCCTTCCATTCCCCTGTGTGAGGGCGGTGGTAAAGATGTCTCCAGTGCACCTGAGGGACAAAGCACAATCATGCCCCAATATTGCATCTCTGAGCCACAGCCCAGTGGCTTCACTGATTTAGACTTTATTCTTTTCCAAAGGCAGCAGAGTGTCAGAGGGCTTTCTTTTGTGTAGTACTGCAAAACTGGTTGTCAAACAACCTCCACTCATTTAATAATTTATCCCATTTTGTAGAAGAAAGGCAACTGACATGCAGTAAATCTACTCCATATTTAAATTACCGCACTGAACAATAACGAGAATGAAAAATCTAGTCCATTATTTAAAATTAAACATATATGAAACTGTTTTGTCCAAATTATCACCAAAGGCTGTAGTTTAAAGAGAGAACTGAAGCCCTGAGTGGAATAAAAATGCCTAACGGTGCTTTGAAAGTGGCACTGGGATTATTTATTCTATTTTTCTATACATAAGGAATTGAGCTAAATGAACAATGTTTAAGCATGTCAGAATTTCATCAATTTTGCATGAGCATTCTCAAATATCCTGGTGGGGGTAATTGCTTGCAAATACATTTAAACTAATGATATGTTATATCCTTACTTGATATAAAACTATTAAAAGATACATTATTGCATTTGACAATGCCATGCAGCTGGGTCAAATCTTAATGACAGATCTCTACATTTGTGAATTAAGATACACTCTGCTGGAAGCAAATATTTTGTAAAAATAAAAGCTATATACTATGTAAGTTTGACCATTTATCTAAAAGTTCTTTTTCTGTGTATAGGATCCTGCAGGAGCTAACAGAGAAGAACTTTGTTCCTCTCATAGAACTGGAAACAGACTCAAGGTACAAACAAGCCCTTCTTCCACCCCTTCACCCTGACTTCCTCAGTAGAAGAGAGAGAACTTGTGAAATCCTCAGTGTGGTTTGAAAGACCCACTTAGAGTGTGATTTGCATACCTCCTATGCCGAGGCAACTAACATGCCTCAGATCAATTAGGGAGACTGGCCTTTTATCCCTGTGAAAGCATGCACACATATGTGCACGTGTGTGCAAGAACATGTGTGCATACACACCACACACATACATTTATTTTCCAAGTGAATCAAAACTAGGCTAACAAGAAATATTGGATGGGAAAAATAATTCAAGGGAAAAAAAAGAAATTTAAAAATTTTTAACCACAGAAATACTTTTGTAAAAGAAAATGTAACAATTTGACTGTAAGGAGTCTTTGGCCCTTCACTTTCAGGGATATTGCCTTTTTTCTTTTAGTCCATTCTTAGTTTTGCCTGAGGTCAGTAGAGAGATGCTCCAGTATGTATCAGCTTGGGTTAATTTGTCTGGTCCTGTGATCAAAATCCCAGTGTGATTTCTCTTATTGACAAAGAGCTAAAATGCATATTAATTTGTTTCCAGTGCCAGGATTCTTGATACTCCAAAGATGGATTGCAAAGCAGGCATTAGCGCTTATACGTGATTATGGAACCAGAGGAGATGGCCTGGCATCCCACTGCAAGTCAGATGATGTTATGATTACAAGGAAGTATTGATATACTTCCCTAATTGTTTCTTAGGACTTTGGTTTCTATTTATGATGTCATTACAAAGCTATGCATTATCTACATAATCGCCAAGGCAAAGACTCTCATGAAGGGAAATGCATCCCGCTGAGATAATGCCGTATGCTGCTGCCATACATGCAAAGGCACATGCGTGGTGCTGAAATAATAAGAGCGTGGAATAATGATGCATTCCTCTTCCCATCATCACAGAAAGCTTTCCCCAGACTATCAGTATTTCTGCCTTAATTGATCTATGAGCGATGAAAGGATTGCAGCAAATGGATGACTTGGGGGCCAATCCATACACAGAACAGCTTCTGTCACTATTGGCCTAAGGAAGGCCAGCGACTCTGCAGATGCTGAGATCTGCCCACGTAGAAGGTGCTTTGCATCTCTCTGCAAGCCTGTGTACCTTTGTATGAGCATGTATGAGAATCTACACCCCCCTGCTCCCCCCCCCCACCACCACCACCACCTCTCAGCTGCTGGCTTAGGGTGAAAACTAAAGGGAAGATAAACTTGCCTCTGGGGCAAGAGGAAGGTAATTTTTCTCAGGAGATGACTCTTCACAGAGTGAAAAAATCACGTATTATTGTCACTCGGTGTTACATATATATGGAATTCTCTCCTTGGCTTGGCAGCCCAGCACGAGAGAGAACAGTACAATATACCTTTACTGCAAGGTTTGCAGTTACATGGTAATTCTGATACATATCCTCGCCTTTCTTTAAAAGGTACGTAGGCTCTGATTTTCAACATCATTGAAGATTATTACAACTTCACTTCATAACATACTGTAAATTTTATTATAAAGCACCAGTTCCTGGGCTCCTAAGAACAATCTTAAGCAAGAGTGCTCTATACTTCTTACTCTTTCCGTAATGTGAGGGACCTAATGAAGCTCTTTATGCAGATTTTCCAGTTATCAGGTAAAACCTTCACATAGAAAATCTGTCACATGTTGTAAAATTTCTTTATGTTATCGGACGCTAATGATGACGCAGAACACAGCCGACAGAGGATCTTTGAAACCCTTCATAAAACTGTATTCCATCCCAATATCAGAGAGGCCTTGGAAATTCCACCACTCTGAAGATGCCGGTTTGTAATTAGCACGGTGCGGGCTTCTCTGCCCTCTGAAACTATAATGTTAATTACAAAAATTACACTGTGTTTAAAAGTGCAATCAAGAGACTCCGCCGCACAAAGGGAATCTTGGAACCTCTTTTCACACTTTGAAGCCAGGTCATAATGTAGCCCATAAAAAGGAGGCCAAGCCTCATTCCCTTTTAAAGGCTTGAGAAGACCAGAGAGGCGCTCTCAGCGAGAATAAGTTCTACTGAGCTCCACGGCGCCGTAATGAACAGTGTTCTACCTGGAGCAAGGGACCAGGCACAAAGAGAAAATGAGCTGAAAAATGATGGCCGCCCCACATTCAGCTTGACTGCTGTCAACATTAACGCCCAGCTTGGGTCGATGCTGGGCCAATTCTGGAATCACTTGCTTCGTTCTGCTGGCTGCTGGCTCTCAAAAGCGGGGCGCAGGTCTAGTCTATGTATGCAGGGCGATGAGACAGACTGGGGTAGATTTAGAACTACCTTCGTACTTCATTCGGAACAGACCACTATTGAGACACATTGGAACAAAAAAGCAAGTTAGGCCAGGAAATCAGGAAATAAGCCTCACCTCAAACTTCCGTTGGGGCGGGGGGGGGGGGCGGGCAGGGAGATCGGTTATAAAATGATAGTGATGATATTTTTGGGTGGTGTAATTGGGCGACCCAGGCAACATGGCCAGTCATAAAATGAGCCAGTGGTTGGTTAGTTCAAAGTGGGGTTTGTGCACTAGTGTGTCAAACACTGGGCAGGAAATGGGAGCTCGGAATTTCGCTTTCCTGTCTTCAACAATGTGACATTTAGCAATTATCTAAATTCGTGGGCTTTCAATTTTCCCATCATAATAGTGAGCACAACACAGGTCTGAGGGAATTATGATCAAATTATCTGAAGCTATTACTGAAAGACAACCTACTCAGCAGTCTGTACGGCAGTTACCATGCACACCTTGTTCCTTTACTGTGCCCCAGGAACTATAGGAACATATACTAACTTTGGAGCAAGTTCTTTCCTTCACTTTGACACCCTCCATCCCCTCCAGCCTCAAAAATCTCAGAATGAATCCTTATTTGGAAATGGCGAGTCTTTCCAGATGTGACATCACTAGCGGCCTCCATCCAAGATGACTTGCGGATTTAAAAAAGAGAGAGGCAAATGTGGGCGCACAGGCAGAGGTACACGAGAAGTCAGTACTAAAGGGCAGCTTACCCATGGATCAGCGCAGGAGGAAGGCCAGAGCAGACTCCTCTCCCTCAGAGTCCTGAAGGGCCAGCCTTTTCTCACCCTTTAGCCTCAGCCCTTGCAGGACCTCGGGTCAGTTCCTGCTGCTGCGACCTCAGCGGTGTCACAGCCGCACTAGGAGCTAACGGCAGCTGAAACTGAATATCTCTTTCTTTGGGTCACTTTGCTTTGAAAAGCCTAGTCTATCTTATCTCCCATTCAGATACACCTACAAACTAGCATGGGGTCCTTTAGGTTTTTATCTTTGGACACAAAGTTTTCCTCAAATCACTTTTCCAGCAGGGAACTTCACGCTCACGCTCAGGCTCCAGAAGCCTACTTTCCTAGTTGCTTGCCTTGCTTTAATTTTCCTTAGAGGATAGGCCGGTGTGTGAAATTCCCACTATCTCGGTGGTGGTATTTTTTTAGTGTCTAAACTGAGAAGCCGCCCTCTCATTGTAAAGTGGAACCAGAATGAAGAACATTAAAGAAGTGCTCAGAATGAGATCAGGCTGGGAACCTGGCTCTGCCATGAATATTCTGGGGAACCAAGAGAGTATTCTAGAGTCTCAGGCGGCAGAAATAGTTGCTCTAGAAAGACATTTATACCAGAGATAAAATGTTTTATAAACCCCAGGAAGGGATCTTAACACCCTCTGCTGTGCCCCTTCTAGCCTCTTCAGTGTGACAAGAGCATATGTCCACACATGGTTATAGATGCTCACTAACGCATCCTAAGCGGGGGATTTCAACTGTTTGGGGGCAGGTTTGTATTTTGTATACTTTATCCGTTTTATTTGCAAACCCTTCAGCTATGCCTTTCGTGGGTGTCCATAACATCTCAGTTGGTAGCTGCCTAAAGCCTTTCCATCAGGGGAATTTGGGATTCTCTGGCTTG